GCATACTAAGGACAAGAACATGGTTGAGAGTGGTTGGCATTGGTCTATAGAGAAGTCATGCCTCACTAGCCTGATAACCTCTTAAATGAGAAGAGTGGCTTAGAGAATGAGGGGACAATAGTGAACGTTGTTTATTCTTGCTTCAGCAAGTCTTTCTAAACTGGTTCCTGTAACGTTCTTGCTGTCAAACTGGTAAGATATGGGCAGAAAATCACAAAAAGTTGTGATCAGCAGAATGAATTCCAGTGACTGGGCAGTCACTAATGGAGTGCTCCTGGGGCTGATACTAGAGGTAGTATTGTTCAACATTTCATTAATAACTTCAATGACGAAACACTAAGTTTTGTGGAGAGTGCAAAACTAGAAGGAGTGATTGGTGGATAAAATGGTCTGTGCTGCTGTTCAGGGGGACCCTGACAGGAGCAGTGGATCATCTGGAATCTAACGAAGTTCCACAAAGAGAAGTGAAAAAGTCCTGCCCCTGGGGAGGAATAACCTCATGTGCTAGTGGATACTGGGGACCAACTGGCTGGAAAGCCATTTTGTAGAAAATGAGCTGACTGTCTTGGTGTTCATGTCCTGGTGTTCACCTGTGTCCATGGTGAACATGTCAGACGTTGAGTCTACAATGTGCCCTTGCTTAAAAAAAAAAACAAGCAGCATCCTGGTGTGTTGGAGGCAGTGCATTGCCATTAGGTTGAGGTTGTTCTTCCTTTCTACTCAGTGCAGGTGGGATCACAGCTGGAGTGCTGGGTCCAGCTCTGAACTCCTTAAAACAAGAAAGATGGGCAGACTGGAGCTAGTCTAGTAAAGGACCATGAAGATGGTGAAGGGATTGAGGTATCTGTCGTACAAGGAGAAGCCAAGAGAGCTGGGATTGTTTAGCCTTGAGAAGAGAGAGCATGGGGGGGTTGTTATCAATGGGTGTAAATACCTGAATAGGAAGGTGTGATGAAGGTGGAGCCAGACTCTTCTCGTTGATACCTTCTGACAGGACAGAGGCCATGGACACAAACTGAAATAGAGGAACTTAAATTTAAACATAAGAAAACACCTTTTGGGGGTGATCAAACCTCTGACATAGGCTGCCCAGAGAGGTTGCAAAGTCTCCATCCTTGGATATATTCAAAACCTGACTGGACACAGCCCTTACCAACCTGCTGTAGCTGACCCTGTCTGAGCAGGGCAGTTGGACTAGGTGATCTCTAGCGGTTCCTTCCCACCTCAGCCATTCTGTGCTTCTGTGATAGCAGACCATTTCAGTCTTTAAAGCTGGTGATGTGTGAAGATGAGCCCAGTTACCTAAAAACTAGAAACCAATTAATTTTATTTTGAACCAATTGGTAAACAATTGATAGCAAGTTAAATGATAAAATTTGTGGCAAAGTGTTTTTTACGTGATCAAAACATCAAAGAAATATGTGCCTTTCTCAGGTATTGGCTTCTATTGATCAGTTAGCTTCATTACTAAATATGAAGAATCCTGATTTTGAACCCAAAATGCCACTGTTGTCTTATGTTGCACAACCACCACTTAGTAACATCTGATATTTTGGTTTGTTTACATTTTTTTAATTTATTTTAAAAGCAGGATCTTATGTGTGAGTAGTAGGCAAGCATGTAAATCTAAATTAATCTTAATTTCCTTAGTTGGCCAGGCGTTGAATGGGAGCTCTTTCTGTGAAGAGTCCACAGTGCTCTTCTAGCAAGGAGCAGGCAATCTCTGTTCTGTTGTTTTCCTCTTTCTTCCTTCCAACTCTTCTTACTGCTCTTCATGTTGGTTGACTTGCTGTAAGGCCCAGCCTGTGCTCTCTAACCCTTTCTGGGATAAAGTCTCATCCTCCTTTCCTCCCTTATTATGTACGGTTTGTGGCTCCCACTGCAGCTGTTTAACTGCTTATACGTTATCACTCTTCCTGTGATTAACACCTTGGTTCATACTGACTCATTTGTGTGAGGCCAAGCAAAATTTAACCAACAACAGAAAACTGCTAGTATGACTAAAACAAAATAATAGGCTTGCTGTCACGGGGGTTTCTAAAATAATTTTTTCCAAATGCAGTTAAAATCAAGCTAAAATAGATTACAGACCGTATAAGGCCTGACAAGTGTTGATGCTAGATATGGGTAACAATCATTATAAAACCAAAGGCATGTAATTAGTACAAAGACATTATTATTATTATTAACAGTTGGTAGCCTTTCTCACCTTGGCTTCCACCAGAAAAATCAATTTTATTGTTTGTCTGCAGGAATTTATTTTTGAGATGCAGCTATTTTTATTTTTTACCTGTACTCTAGAGGAAAAAAATAAATCCTATTGTGCTAGCAAAGTGTGCAGGTGACACGTTGGAGTCGTCAGTGTCTGTAAGAAAGGGTGGGAATAGGTCAGTTAAAGAAATCAAGATGGATCATGTGGCAAAGTCAATGAGAGTAAATATAAATGTAGTTAAATGGAAGGCTGTATTGAAGTACAATGGTGGATGTGAGAATTTTGTTTAAAACAACAATAAAAAACAGTTTGAGAAGTCTTTTAAAAATTTTATGTCTATAGACAGTGTTCAAACCTGCAG